AAGATAATGTTTTTTCTCATTAATCAGGGAAAGGAACATTAAAACCACGATAGCATATTATTACTACTACTAGACTTGAAAAAAAAATGCCGATATTGACAGTTCTAGATAGAGATATGTTGTGGAGTAGGAACTATCACCATTTTTTGATAGACATATAAATTGGCTTAACCAATTTAGAAATTTGTAAAAGAGGATATGCCTACATGACAACTAGCAATTCAATTCCTAAGTATATACATTCAAAAATTAATGCATGTAGGAATCATGATACATACTAGAATATTCATAGTAGCATTGTTCATAGGTCTCCAAAATGGAAACAGTGCAAATGTCCATCAACTGAGTAATCATTATTCAATGCCTCCTTTTCCTTATCTCAAATTTTTCTTTTTACCTCTTCTAATCAGGTATCTATCAAATAATAAAATAGCTGTCTCTCAGACAACTAATAACTACTACCATCTTGTTCTAATGCCTGTTAAATTCGGTCTATGTGTGTCTTTAGAATCTCATCTATTTGTGTAGCTTTCACAACCATATCTCTATAAATGATTTTTAAGTATTTATCTTTTGTGTAAGTTCATTTTTTGAGATAGGTGGAAAGTTTATTTCCAGGCTACTTAATGAAATTGCAAATTTATGGTTGCCAATATTAACTGGATCCACATTGTTGATAATTCCTTTCCCAAATCTTTAGTTACCCTCCCTGATCATTCATCAATGCATATATCCAATATATGGATAACTCTCCTAAAGTTATCTTTAACATATATTTCCCCATTTTTCTCATTAATAGATCTTCACTTCAGGCACCAAAAGAAAGAATAATAGTGAATATCTCTCACTATTAATTTTTTTAAAGATTTTATTTATTTATTCATGAGAGACACAGAGAGAGAGAGAGAGGCAGAGACACAGACAGAGGGAGAAGCAGGTTCCATGCAGAGAGCCTGACTTGGGACTCGATCCTGGGATTCCAGGATCACACCCTGGGCCGAAGGCAGGCACTAAACCACTGAGTCACCCAAGGATCCCCTCTTCTTTTCTTATAATTACCCTACTTTATCATCCCACTTGCTTCCTTGACTCACTTCTACCTTTTTTACTGTCCTGATAACTTCTTCAATTGATGGATCTAATGGCTTTTTTAAAGTTTTTATTTAGATTCCAGTTAGGTAACATACAGTGTAAGTTAGTTTGAGATATACAATTTAGTGATTCAACAGTTCCATACAACATCCAGTGCTCATCACAAAAGGGCACTCCTTAATCCCCATTACCTATTTTACGATCCTCCCACCCACCTCCCCTCTGTTAACCATCACTTTGCTGTCTATAGTTAAGAATCTGTTTCTTGGTGAGCTTCCTCTCTTTTTTCCCCTCCTTTCCTCATTTGTTTTGTTTCTTAAATTCCACACGAGTGAAATCATATATTTGTCTCTCTCTGACCAACTTATTTCACTTAGCATAATACTCTCTAGCTCCATCCACGTCATTGCAAATGGCAAGATTTCTTTCTTTTTATGACTGAGTAATATTCCTGTGTGTGTGTGTGTGTGTGTGTGTGTATGTAACATCTTTTTTATCCATGTATCAGTCGATGGACATTGGACTGTGTCCATAACTTGGCTATTATAGATAATGCTGCTATAAACATCAGGGTGCATGTATGCCTTTCAGTTAGTATTTTTGTATTCTTTGGGTAAATACCTAGTACTGCAATTATTGTATCATAAGGTAGTTATATTTTTAGTTTTCTGAGGAATCGCCATACATACTGTTTCGCAGAATAACTGCACCAATTTGCATTCCCACCAAAAGTGTAAGATAATTTCCTTTCTCTACATCCTTGCCAACACTTGTTTCTTTTTGCTGATTTTAGCCATTCTGACAGGTGTGAGGTGATATCTCATTGTAGTTTTGATTTACATTTCCCTGATGATCAGTGATGTTGAGCATCTCTTCAATGTCTGTTATCCATCTGTATATCTTCTTTGGAAAATGTCTATGTTTGCTGCCCATTTTTAATTGCACAATTTGTCTTTGGGGTACTGAATTTTATAAGTTCTTTATAGATTTTGTATACTAACACTTTATCAGATATGTCATTTGCATATATCTTCTGCCATTCTGTAGGTTGCCTTTTAGTTTTGTTGATTGTTTCCTTTGCTGTTCAGAAGCTTTTTATTTTAATGGAAGTCCAATAGTTCATTTTTGCTTTTGTTTCCCTTACCTCAGGAGACATTTAGAAAGAAGTTGCTACAGTTGATGTCAAAGAGGTTACTCCCTGTGTTCTCTTCTAGGATTTTTATGACTTCAAATCTCACACTTAGGTCTTTAATCCATTAAAAAATTTTTTGTGTGTATGGTGTAAGAAAGTGGTCCAGTAAGATAATTTATCTTCCAAACTGAAATACTTATGAAAGTGAAAAGATGTGCTATTTAATAATTGAGCTGGTATGATAGATATAAATCTTGATTGTTCAAGGAAAATTAGGATATACTGTTATTTCATTTACAGATTATTTTCCCCCTTAATTTTTTTCTTCTGTTAAACCTGTAATATAGATCTCACCTAGAATTATCAACCATCATCTTTTGTTCTTTTATGTACTGTCCTTTGATGATCTGAAACATATGCATGACTTAAACTGTCACTTCCATTGATAATTCCCAAAGTGTATACCAACTCCTAACTTTTCTGAGCTCCAGTGCCATATTTCTAATAGCTCATTGGGTATCTCAGACTATTAACCCCAAAATATGTATTTTAAATTTAAACTTATCTTTTCCCTGAAAAATCCAGCTGTCCTGTGTACATTCATACACACACACACACACACAGAGAGAGAGAGAGAGAGAATGTGTAGTATATGTAAACATGTGTTTGTGAGTCTAGAAATCTATATATCCTGCATACTTACTAATTTGTCCATGTACCTTCTTAGGTACTGGACATAAAATAGTAGCAAAAGCATGATTTCATTGTGACAAGACATTCTAGTATGGGAGATAGACATTGATCAAACCATCATACATATAAATGTAGTATAACTGGAAATTGCTATGAAGTAAAGGAACATGGTGTCATGTTAAGTATAATAGGAGCCTTCTTTGACTTTATTTCTTTTTACTAGTCATTAATGGCAACATCTAGCTCTTTTAAATCAGAATATCTAAAGGAAGGAAACTTGAGTGGGGAAAAATTAGAGGAAGACAAACCATGAGACTCCTAACCCTGGGAAACAAAGTGTTGCAGAAGGGAAGGTGGGTGGGGGGATGGGGTAACCAGGTGATGGGCATTAAGGAGACACAAGATGTAATGAGCACTGGGTGTTATATGTAACTGATGAATTACTGAACTCTACATATGAAACTAATGATGAACTATATGTTGGCATTAAGGAAGGCACAAGATGAGATGAGCACTGAGTGTTTTACTATATGTTAGCAAATTTAAGTAAAATATCTTTAAAAAATAAATCTGACTACCTCCATTTCTTTTAATTATTTATCACAATTAAGTACTCAAATATACTAGCAGATAGAGCAGTTTTTCTTCTCAGAATTCCCATTGCTTTTCACCCTAGTTATGGGAATATTATTTATAAATTGTTAGGCCCTAAAATGGTAGCTTGGCAATGAGGATATTGGTATGGGAACTAAATAAAAGAGCTTCTATGGAAATTTATGAGGAACAGATGATGCATAAGATTAGGAGCACCTTTCTAGTCATAAAGTCTGGCTACTGCTTCCTTGTTTTCACAAAGTAAGAGATACTGAATGATTGAATGTTAATTGCTTATTCTTTTATCATATGTATATTACCTCTGTGCTCAAAACTTGAAAGTGGTCAAGTTCTCAGTTCAAAATCAGAAAACCTAAACCCATTAGTACTACCCAGAACTATGCAAATTATGCATAGTCCACAACAATAATTTTATAATCAACATAATAATTTTTAAATGAATAATCCACATTATTTGTCCTTATGTTTATATATTTTTTGAATAGTGATACTCAGTTACATCAGTTTTTAACATGTTGATAAGTGTAACATCTAATAATAATAGCTAACATTTATTAAGTATTTACTACTTTGTAGTGCTAGATAATTTATATGCATTATCTTATTTAATCCTCAACAGTAATCTGGTAAGGTAGATGCTATCATTATCTTCATTTTTCTAGTTAAAGGAAATGGTGATTTAAGAAGCAGAGCCATCAGTGCCCCCACAGAAGTCATAGCATAGTTAAATGGATAATTGAGAAGAGTTTAATAAGCAACAATAGTGTTTACAAAGGTTTGGGCAGATTTTAGGGCAAGCAACAAGACACAATGCAGTGCCCTGGGATTAGTAATACTGGGATCATTAATACTCCTAGTCATAATGGGGTAAATGGAGGAAAGTGCTACTGGAATCCAGAAAAGAGCCATAAACAAGTATCATCTGACAGAGGCTATGACCTAGCCAACCTGTGGTAACCTAGTAGAAAAGGAACCACAGGTATAAACCAGACCTTACTCTCCTCTAACCTTTCAGTTTCCTGGTAGTGTCTTCCCAGTTGGCTGAACCCAACTAGAAACTAGAAAGCACAGAATAACTTGATTCTATCTATACAGGTCAGCTTAGAGCAGCGAGGATGAAGAAGGGTGGAGAATCTGACAGGAAAATGGAAAATATATACGAATTAAATATTATTAAGTGGCAGAGCCAGTAATGTGAATGGCAAACACTTTATTCCTTAACTACAATGCTAGATTGCCTCTCCTAAAAAGAAAACTTTCATGAAATATTATTTGACCAGGGAAAATATTTTAAATCTAAAGGTTTCTATCCTATCCCAAATTGTTGAATATATTTATACCTAACAGTAAGTGAGACTAAATATATGAGAGCTAGGCAGCAAGAATGCCCCAAAAAATAGTGTAGGTATTGATTTCAGTGGTGTTGCTATTTTCAGAATATTAAAACATCCTTGTTTTTCTTGTTCAGATTCCAGACTCCATCATTTCTCGTGGTGTTCAGGTGCTCCCACGAGACACAGCTTCCCTCAGCACTACTCCTTCAGAATCGCCTCGTGCTCAGGCTACATCTCGTCTTTCTACAGCTTCCTGCCCAACACCAAAAGTAAGTACAGTTCCTTGGCACCTTAAACCTGTTCTACTATACAAATCTGGAAAAATTAACCAATATTTCCCTCTGCTTGTCAAGGTTGGATTGCATGCAAGATAATGCAATGAAAAATGAATGGACTATAAGATAATTACCATTGTTTCACAGATTGTCATATTAGGCCAACAGTAGGATAATAGAAATTTCATACAAAATGTTTACTCCTACCTCACAGCTATAGGTATCACTTTCTGTAGCTCCTGTTTTTTTGTTTTAGACTTATTTTTTTAGCATACTCATCAGTATAAATGTGAAGTTATTTGTTTATGCAAAGGATGAATGCATTTCTGCCCAATAAACAGTAATATTAACAGAATTTAAAAATGTCACCAAAGGGATTTATTTTTTAACTTCTCTAGGTTGGGGTAGCTCCCTGCTCTAGTATCATGCCAAATTTTTTCAAACATATTCAACTTGGAATGTTGCTGCCTAATGTTTGGAAACAAATCTAAATTGATTAGAAAGAAAGTTTTAATGCCAACCTTTGGGGAAGGAAGGAAGTTTTTGAATATTTATTTCTTATGATTTTCCAAAGTACTGAATCATATGTGGGAGGAAAAAAGGATTAGACATTTATTTGTTGCCTCACATCTTCATGTATATGATAAATTAAGTAGCAGACTTAATAGTGGTTGTAACTACTTTCTTCTGGAATGTCCCTTTCCTGGTTAAGTTAGTCATTTGTGCTTTTAAGTTTTCTATATGATGGATCCAATATTGGCATCAAAAAATTAATGGTAACATTCCTTCTTATTTAATAAGATATGGTGTTAGATATTGGCTGTACACTAAATTTATTCAAGAGATCTGCAGGTAATTTTTCAAAGTGTGGCTTTTTCTTTGTCATCAGACTTAGAACTTATATACTGTCTTCCTCAATTCCAACTTTTACATGAGCTTTAAGAATGTTATAACTGGACTTAACTAGACATGATCTCAAGCAATTCTTCATATGTGTAGTGCAGTTGCTTTTACAATTGTACAACCTTCTCAGCAAAGTCCTCCCAGTGTTACTGCTACATATCATTCCTTTTAGATTTGTGTCAATATAACCAATATTAATTTTATAGTTTAAAAAAATTATGGCTCTAAATCTTCAATGAAGGAAAACTATTGGAATATTCTAGACATAAAAATATATGTTAACGCTAGTCAGCTGCCTGTCAGCTACGTACATCTTCAACTGATTGAAAACATGGAGTTCTAGGACTTGAATTGGTTAGAAGAATCTCATTCATGTCTTTTAAATTTTCAAAGCAAAAGAATTTGTTGTTTTCATTAAATCCCAACTGTCCAAGGTATGCACATTTCTAAAGCCTGGTAATAAAGCTAGAAGTTAAGGCTGCTATAAATGTTTAGTCATTCACCAAATATTTAGACCAAAAATATTGGGAAAATGGAGCTATTCAAGATGCAATATTCTTTTCCTTGATAATATACTGTGAATATAAATATCTAGGCTAAATTTAATTAAACATAGTAGTTTTGAGCCTTTTTAAAACTTCGTGAACATCTTAATTACAAAAGGAATATTAAATGCAATTCTAAAACTTGGCATTCCAAATTTACTAAAGTGAAATCCTAAAAATAAAAACATTAACATCTATTAAGTTAATTTGCCCATTACAAAGCTTTAGGAGAACATATAGCTTGTCTTAATATTTTTTTCCTTAGTTAACACTTAGATGAAATAACAATGAATTAAATAAAATCGTGTATTTGAATATCTCTTTTTTCCTAGGATTTTTTTTTTCTGTATGTTTATCTAGGAATAAGATTCTTGCTTATCCTTTTAGGTAATTTTTACCTGTACCACAATATATACCTCAAAAATAAAATTAGTACTTCAGTGTAATTTTAAAATTAAACTTCAATGGCTGAATCAGAACACTAACATAATAAACTAGTTTGAATATTGATTTTTTTAAAAGGGAGTGAAGAAAGTCAAATTTATGTATTGAAGATCTCAAATTATAAGACTGCTTAATTAAAACTAAACTAGATATTATTTATGCTTTTATATCAATGACAGATATAATATATGCCCTTAAGGAGTTTACAGTTTAGTTGATGGTATCTTAAAATAGGTAGGTAGATAAACATAAATTATTCTAATAATTATAATTTTACCAAACTTAATAATTATAAATTGAAATTCATGCTAAGCAAAAGTGAAAAAGTAGTACTGGTAGAAAATAGGAGGGAAACCTTACAGAGGTAGGATTATCAGAGAAGTCCTCTCTGAGGAGAACATTTCACCAGGGAATGAAGGATGAATAAAAACAAAAGCTTTTGTGTTACGTGGAGGTTTTGAGAATTATATTCAACAATAATGACCACTTTAAACACAGTTGTCACCAGCCAGTTATCACCAGTCAAGAACTCTCAGACTAAAACTTCATTACTACATGAAAAGTCTAATTCAGTGACTTCAAAATCCAACTTCAGATGTCAGCTTCTTTTTATTTATAAAAAAAAATTTTGCCATTGCCTACCAAATCAAATTGCAAGGCTAGGATTTAAATCTGTCTATTCTAGGTGAATTGTTTATTTTAATTTTCAGTATAAAAATCTAGGGCAGAAAAGTCTGAATGTTAGGCTTCTAATTTAAGATACAGGTAAAGGGTGATGTTGTTAACTATATTCAAGAATAATAAGGGAAGAAAGTCATTTTGACAGTAAAGGAGTTAATTCATTTTGATTTTGAATGTATTCAATCTGAGATAAATATATGAGACATTGCAGGAATGTCTCCAGCATAAAATTATAGTACTAGTGAGTTTGACATTTTTACTTTTACTTCATCTTGGTGCTGATATTTATAATATAGTACCTAATAGTGTCAGCTAAACTCCATAGAAATCCCTCTTCATGTTTCATATTAGACATGCAGTCTGTTATGTGCAGAAATATCTGTGCAAATATATTTTCTTTACATCAGAAATACAATATGGTCTTGAAAGATCAGCAGTAGAAAGAATACTTAACTTGATAATAGAAGACATGGATTCAAATGCTGGTGTCTCTGCTTAATAACTACACTTTTCTGAGCTTTGTGTCTTTAAAGAAATGCAGTCCTTACCTTCCCAACAGAGTTATTAATTTATTAAATAGTTTGCCTAATGCTGGGAAAGCAGTGATGAGCAGCACACATTGTTCTTACCATTACAAACAGACAAAATAGACAACTACAAATTATAATAAAGTATAAGTGCCATGATTTATCACCAGGAGTACAGAATTATCTGGGAATAACCATCAAGAACCACTTTCCCGGGCAGCCCAGGTGGCTCAGCGTTTTAGCGCCGCCTTCGGCTCAGAGCCTGATCCTGGAGACCCAGGATTGAGTCCCATATTAGGCTCCCTGCATGGAGCCTGCTTCTCCCTCTGCCTGTGTCTCTGCCTCTCTCTCTTCTCTCTCTCTGTCTCTCGTGAATAAATAAATAAAATCTTTAAAAAAAAAAAAAAAGAACCACTTTCCCTCTATAGCTTTTTGTCAATGAGGCAGTATTTAAGCTAAAAGACTTCCTGTTCATTTACTGCCATGCATCTATTTTTTTAAGTCATCAACTGTAATAGTAAATACTATTTTGGGTTCACATTTTATATCTTTACTACAGTATAATATTCTAGATTGTCCTTTTACTCTTTAAGATTATCAGCTATAGTGAGAACAAGATCTATAAAATATACCATTTGGATTTCCTTTTTAATACACAATCTAGTGAAGACAACCAATTTTTTGTAAACAAGAACAAACTTGAAATTTTAGTCTTTCATTGCCCTAAGTAAAAGAATGGCTTAAGCAAAAAAGACAAATAGTTATATAGATTCCATTTAAATAATAGTGGGCAATATCTAGAAGACCCAAATTCTAACACAGTGATAATCTCCCAAAAATGATTTGCTAAAAGAATAATTCTTTAACAGATCAATTCTCTTGAAAAGTGAGCATGATTCACAACTTAAATGAATGCTAATTTTTCAATTATGAAAGGCATCAGCATCTCTATTTGAAATTAAGAGGCATGGGGTAGAGAATGACCAGAGCAAAAAAAAAAAAAAAAAAAATCAAACTTTCAGTCAATTCATCATTCTCAATAGATGTTGTTAAAATAGGAAATAATTTCTAAAGATTTTAATTATCTTTTTATTAATTAAGCATCTGGTTTGGCTTAAAAAATAAATGTACTCTCTTGTCACATATATATCTTAAAGATTAGAATAGAATTTTATAGCCAAAAAACTAGCAAGTTTTCTTCTTAGGAAGAAAATATAAATACTATCCATATAAAACTAAAGGTTATGAAATGATTAAAAACTATATGTATTGAAATATCTTAATATACTAATGTATAATCTTAATTAAAACAAAATGCAGAGTTAAGACTTCACTCTATGTTTCTATTATTTTCCTTTGAGCAAATAAGTTTAGATTACTCTGGGTAAAGAAGAAACGATTTTCATAGTTTTTTTTAATGTCTTATGTCTGAAAAGCAGTGTGATTTCCTTTACATAATCATTTGATTTTTTTTCTCAGTCATGTTAGTTTGTACAAACTATTCCACACTGTCATCATTTTCCTTTGTGAACACCACAGTGATTATATGATATGGTTAGTTCATTGGTTCTAAATCTGAGGGTCCCAAGTCTCTGGAGAATCTTATGAAGTTGTTAAAATTCTAGCCTAAATCAAAATACTAGGTGAAGCTTGCAGATTGCTTTCCCCCTATTTTGAAAAGCCTAGACAAAATCTACTTTTTGCATACTACTTTAAATATTTACTTTTGCTTTTGTCTGAAATTATATCATCATTGGTATACCAACATCTGTTCAACTGTTAATGACATTATAGAAATTTATGGGTTTTATATGTAGAGTCAACAAGTATCAAAATGTTTAGAAAGCACAGAATTAGTGACATCAATAGTACATTCTCTGGACATAAAAATAAA